ACCTGTTTTCACAGCAGAGGTGCTTCAGCCCTCAGATCATCTTTGTGGCCCTTCTCTGCACTGTCTCCAACAGCTCCATGTTCTTCCTGTGTTGAGGGCCCCAGAACTGGACATAGAACACGAGGTGGGGTCTCAGGAGTGCAGAGTAGAAGGGCACTTAAGATGCTTAAACATCAAGTTAAAGTGCTTAAACACCAGCAGCTTTTCCATTAAAACAAAAGGTAAACTAGCAGAGCACTAAAAACCACAGTGAATTGCAAGTCAATTGATTTTAACTGGATCATCAGAGTTGGGCTGGTGTATTGAATCAATCTCTTCCCTGCCCCAATGGTGCCAGCCAGTTCCCAGGCTTTTGGAGCTTTCTGCTAGACCTGGTTGCATTGAGAGGTGTGTGTATATATGTACCAGAGGTGGATTTTTGCACTTTCTAAGGAAAAATCGCATGCAGAATTAACTGTTATTTCTTTATTTACCCACAAACTCATTTGAACAGTCTCACACTGTAAGTTATAGTTGCCTTGAAGTTACACCACAGCTTTAATCTGCCTAACAACACGGATTTCACTACACAGTCTCAAAAGTATAATCTTTGGAGGTACATTATTATAAGCTTATTTATCATTCAAAGCATAATAACTGTTGCTTGTGTAGTATTCCTGCTTTATTAGTATTTTTATAAAACAAGACTTTCTTTTACACAAACCCTGTAGCAATTTAGAAGAGCACTCTGATTTAAAACAAACAAGTTTCCTAATTAATAATCTTTTAGTGATTCCTCCAATAGCTCAATTAAAATAAACAAGCAGAAAAATTTTGACATTATATTATTTCTAATAATATTTTTCTTTTAATCAGCTCATTTTATTTCTAATATTTCTAGTAGAAAGTGGGTTATTTCTCATTAGGCTCTTTCACAGCTCCAAATTCTTTACTTGCCCTGCTAGGGTAATTACAGACATCTGTACATGGTTAGCACAAAGACTGTGAAGTCCTAAAGGGGACTTAATGCACCCCTAAAGGGGATGACATTAAGTTGTTGACATGAATTATATGTAAACCTGTTTTGCCTTTGGGAAAATGTTAGTGCTTATTTGTGAAAAAAAATGCTTCTGGAAAGTAATCACAAATTAATTCAAGTAAACAGCAAATACAGTTAATAATAATTTTCAATGTTAGGCCTCTGGCTTAGGTATTCTGTTTCCATTTTATATGGAAATCCAGTGTTATTTTCGGATTGATTTAACATTTAATGCAAGTCATTCTTACTAAATTAAGATTAAAAACACAAATGAAAAGTTTTCTTGCTTTCTCAGTGGATCCAAGGCTCTTACAACAGCCTCAGTATGAACTGCTGGGTTTTCAAGACAAACTGTTTCAAATTTTAGGAGATCCTCTAGAGTTGTACTATGGACTAGAGAAGCAACAATTGTAGGCTTTAACCCAGCTGCTTCAAAGAGTTTTGTCTAAGTCATTGCTTAAAATGGCTGCATCAGGAGGAAAATGGTTATTCATAAGTACTATTCTAGTCCTTTAAGAACATAAACATTGTGTATATACCAAATAACTCTGATCCTTTACTAAACATAAAAATGAAAGTACTCATCCAGTTAACAATGTTAAAGACACTGGTGCTACTAATGTGTTGTGAAAGACTTGTCCAAGGGCTGGGATGAGGGGGGTCTTTGTTTCTGTCCACACTACCTAAAAAGGATGCATCCACTGTGTCAGTTCTGGAGAACTGACAGTTTGCCTCTTGCTGCTCATTTCACACGTGGTGTTTCTAGTGTTGCTGATACACATGGCTATGGAAGTTAGCTAAAAGGAGAAACCACAAAGCAACTACAGCTACTGAGATTAAGTGTCCCAGGAGACTGATGATCCACAAGAGGTGCAAGTATTTGCAAGAGAAAGGTTTGCTCAGTCAAGAAAACAAAACCAAGTCCTGGGCCAGCAAGTGCCTCTGCTGACTTTGTGTGGTGGGTTAACCTTGGCTGGACACCAGGTGCCCACCCAGCTGCTCTGTCTCTCCCCTCCTCAAAAAAATGAGGTGGGGGAGAAAATAAGATGGTAAAGAAGTCATGGGTCAAGATAAAAGCAGTTTAATAAAACTAAAGCAAAGGCCACACACAGAAGCAAAGGAAAACAAAAGATTTATTCTCTGATTCCCATCAGCAGGTGATGTCCAGCCCCTCCCCAGGAAGAAGAGCTTCCGTATGCATCGGGGTGCTGTGGAAGACAAATGTCATAATGTCCCCTCCTCTCCTCCTTTCTCCTAACATTTATTGGTCAGCAGACATCATCTAGTATTGGATATCCTTTTGGTCAGTTTGAGGCAGCTATCCTGGCTATGTTCTCTCCCACTCAAACCTCCTGGTGCTCCCTTACCCTTGAATGTTGGAGAGGCAGCCTTGATGTTGTGTGAGTGCTGATCAGCCGTTGCCAAAACACTGGTGTGTTATCAAACCCTTTCTAGCTACCAATACAAAGCATAACACTAAGAGGGGCTGCTATGGGGAAAATCATCTCCCTGTCAGCCAGACCCACTACACTTTGGTAGATCCACTTCCACGTTTAAAATTGGGCATTTGTACAAGATAGGGACTTCATAGTCTTTTGCAAGTGGCTCCAAGAGACACTATATGGTCTCAGGGCAAATGTAAAGATTTGTCCTAGATGAAAACTTGTTTAAAAGGCAAAGTAAAACTATCTTACTTGTTATAATGCTTACCAGTCATTTCCCTGTGTGGTCACAGGTCTCTAAGCAGCCCAGCCTGAGTCCTCCTCAGCTGTATCTTGTTTGATTTATCAGGCTGTTTGGAAGTTTCTCTCAAAATCCCCACCCTTCCACATTCAAGGTAAGTTGTGGTAACGTGGTTTCTCAGGGACAAGTGGTTGTCCCTGCTGTCTGAGAAGTCCCCTGCCCAGAGCACCTGTAGCAACTTCCATTGGAGGTATCTACTTACTCCTTCAAAAGAGAAACTCTACCGAATGGCTGAGCAACAAGGGGAAAACAGCAACCAGGTAGAGATTATAATGCTGATAGTGTTTTTCCTCCTTTTTTTTTTTTTATGTGTCACAACTAGAAAGTACAAGGATCAAGAGGAATCAAAAAGGAGCCTCATGTCTAGCAGTACTGTTTTGCTCCTGACTCACAGAGCTGAAGCCAACAAGAAATGTCATCTGTAAAGCAGAGAGAAATGTTTCTGCCATTTACCTTCATGGGAAAGTCACTTGTTTCTGTTTCTCTGTGGGAGGTAGCAGTAGCCAGCAGCTGTGGGCAACTTTGCTAACCCATGCACCTCCTCATTGTCTTGCAGAGCAGGGAAATGGGACCAGGGCAAGCAATGGAGAACCTGCAATCAAGCATGCAGTGCCCAAATCGCCACAAATCAGTATCCAGAAGGTCTGTTCAAAGGGTGAACAAATGCATCCAAGTTGATATGGACCTGGATAAGGAGAATCCCAGTGCAGACCTGAGCCTTTCTCCAACAACTGGCCTTTCTGGGAAGCCACAACAATCTCTAGGGAACAAGATACCTTCCCAGCAAGGTGTTTCCTTATCTTCCCAAGGACAGTCTGCCATGCTATCTCTGCTACCACTGCTGCCAGCACCCCCACCTCTGTCTTCTGGGCATAAGATGCCTCCTCCACCCCTTCCTGTGCTGGGCATAAATGCCTCAACACTTCCACCTCCTCAGCCATGCAGTAATCCTGAGTGCAACCATCTCACTTGTGGATATGGGGGGCAGCCCCAAACTATGAAGACTCCAACGCTGAGGATGAAGATGTTCCACTGGCAGAAGCTCTCCTCGGACGTGGTGAGACGTACGTGCTTGTTTGTAACGCTGGGCTGATGGGTTCATTTATTTTGCATCCAAACAAAAATGCTCATGACAGGGGGTCTAGGCCTTGAGTCAATGAGTCAGTGAGGTAATCCCATTGCTTGCTCTTAGTCCTACCAAAAAATGCTAATCACAGAAAAATGTGGAAAGCTAAGCCTTCACCAATAAATGCAGGAAACAGGAGTTTGGAAAAGCACTGAACTGAGGTCCTGTGGCTGCTGCAATTACCTTCTCTTAACCTCTAAGTCTCTATTTGTTACTTATTAAAAGTGATTTGTGAGTCTGCACTAATTAAGATTTGCAAAATGCTCTGAGTATGCTGAGTGGAAAGATGTGTTGAACAGTTCCCCCTTGCAGTTCTTCCTGCTTTTTTTTGGTGAGTGTCTTCTCACCTGAAGCTTTTACTTTACTTTTTGACACCCGCCAGCTTTGCACAGCCAGAAGATACATCAGCCAGGACCCAAGGCTGAAACCTCTTGTCTATAGGGCTGGGTAACATACATCCTCAGGATAGGTTATAGCCTCCAACTTCATTTCACACTGCCCACAGCCATCTGATTTGTGTGGGTTTCTTCCCACACACAAAATAACACTAAAGTTTGTGGTCAATATACACATACATATAAAAACCTAGTCTGAGCCATAGTCTGGTTTCTGGGGCAGAGATACAAACTCAGATTCAGCCCTAATGTCTTCAGTGCCACTGTTGCTGTCTCTCCTAAAGAAAAAGGAGGTGAGCTCCTTTGTCAGAGATTCCAGTGTTACAAACAAGTTAATGTTTTGAAGTGCCATGTGCTATTCAGATGGCTCCTGCTGATTCTGATAACAATGATGGGCTTGGGGGTCCTTATCTGTTGCAGAAAGAGGTGGTTTTTTAATTGGATGCAACATCCCCTGTTTGGGGACAACATTTGGAGCAGCCCATTAAGTTAATCTGCTGCCATCAGTTCAGTGAACAGAATGTGGCTGTAGTCTTCCAGGTTTAATTAGCCTTCAGACCTTTGGGATTCTGTCTGGGTGAGCTGCCACTCTGAAATAATTAATATTTGTCCAGGACTAATGAGCATCATCTTTCATTTATTCCCTTCCACAAACCACATTGCCTTAAAAGTGTTCCTCTACTTCTGTGACCCACCTTGAAGTGTTACTCTCTTCCAGAAAGTGGCTCCATGTGGGCTGTGATGCCAAGCAGCAGCAAGGAGCTCGTGGAGCCTGACTATGCAAGCTTGGAGCTACTTTTCTCCGTCCCACCAACAGCACCTAAGGAGAAAATGAGGTCAAAATTAAAGAAAAAAAAAGAGGTACTTGGCCTGCTCATTTTTTGTAGAGCCTGGAAAAAATCTTGGAAGTGAAAAGCTTATTCACTCTTTGTTGTTGTTGATCGTTTTTAGTAAGAAAGTTTTAGTTGTTTTTATATCTATTGCCTAAGATTACCTAAAAAAGTATAGGAAAGGTTTAGAATTAAACACATTGAAGTAACTCTGCTGAGGGACAGGTCTTTAACTAAGAGAGGGAGGACATAGGAATTTCAGTATTAGTTCTTATAAATTATTCTAGACAAATCAATTCCCTTCTCTATGCCTTTGCCTCTTTCTCTTTCTAAAATAAAACTAATGCTCTGTACTGTTGTACATCTCTATGCCTTTGCCTCTTTCTCTTTCTAAAATAAAACTAATGCTCTGTACTGTTTTACATCACTCTGAGTTTGATCAGTGAAGATTGTTGATAATGTTATTACTAGAGAAAAGTGCATCTTGCCAAACAAATAAACAAAAGCTCTAAAATGTTTATTAAAATCAAGGTAAATGTATTGCTAGCTGACTGTTGTTTTTTTTTTCTTTTCACAGATCACATTCATAGGTCCTAAGAAAAGCCTCCTCCTGAGTATAATTCTGAAGCAATTTAAATGGTAAGATTTGGAGAGTGCCATCTGAATTACTTATTTGATGTGTTTATTCAGACATTAAATAAAATCAGTTTAGCAGAAATACTTCACAACCAGTCTCTCTCTTTAGCAAGGAGTCAACTTTTTTCCTGGTTTGCTGAGTTTTGTTTGTTCATTTTTAACAAATGAGATGTGAAGTCTCTTTCCAGATAATGTCTCAAACTGTTGTTAAACCTAAAATGGGCCACAAATTCCTAATGAGACAATATTAATAAATACCAGCAAAAACACGTGGAAGCATGCTTTTCTTTGGTATTTTTGACATAAACATCAACTGCTGGAAGTGAAATTCCTGATTGGAAGTTTCAGTTTACCTAATTGATTTTAAAGAGAAATCTCCAAGGGTTCAGATCCAAAATTGTATCTAGTTTTTATTTACAGCTTTTTCTATAAATAGGATGTAGTTTCTAAAATTAAACAAATGGAAATTTACCCAAGTCACTGTCCTCACAGGGAGGAGAAAAAAAAAACAACAAAAAAACCTGTGCTAGTTTTTGGCAAAATATCTTTACTCTTAGATTCTCTGAAACTACTGCAGGATGAAGATGGATGTTCTGCTCTCTCCCTGCCCTTTGTGCCCATGTTACATGGACTTCAAAAAGAAGCTCAGCCAAACAATTCCTTTGTGTGAAGAAACAACCAGAATTAGTCAGAGGGATTTTTTTTAAATTCCCTTCTTTTTCCATCACAAACTGCTTCTCAGTGGGGAAGTGCTGTGCATAGCCTAATCTGGTTGCTATTTCCTCTCTCTGCTGCTCCCTGGGCAGCAGTTAAGCTCTCCTGAGAGCAGCCAGTGACCGTGGGATCAAAGAGCTGGGTCCTACTTGCACTGGTGAGGGATGAGGCTACTGGTGAGGGATGAGGCTGCTGGTGGTGGTTACTGCTGGTGGCTGCAGGCAGCTGAGCTCTCCAGAGCCCAAACTGGAGCAGTATGAACTCATTTCAAAGGCATGTTGACTGCCAAAGTTTCAGGCAAGGATTTGGGGTAAAAACTTCTGGGATTTTTATAAATACTTCTCAGCAGGAGAAAAGCCATCAGTTTTAGCCTTGGCTTTGTTGCAAGCAGTGGAGAAATTTAAAAGCAAATCTCAGTGACACTGGACATGCATAGTAAAAGGAGAGCCTTCAGGCTTTATTGTGTAAAGATGAACAAAGCCCAGAAAGCACATTTAAATTACGAGGAATATTGCTTGAGGCTTAAAATAAATGCTTTGCTTTTTCAAATCTCCACTGTACCTCCAAGGACTAAGATAAAAACATGATGGGAGGCAAGTACAGTATTAATTACTTATTTACTCCTACAGTGCTAGCTGAGAGATTAGAGTCACTTCTCTTTGTCATATTCCTCCTCCCTACACTGTTCCACAGCACTTCTCTTTTTTCCTACAGCTCCAATGAAGAGATTGCTGCCATGATTCAGAAAGGTGATAGATCCAAGCTGGATGCTGAAATACTGAAGCAGCTACTTAAACTGCTGCCTGAAGACCATGAGGTATCTACTAAGTGTGTTATGCTGATGAAGTTCAGTGTGTTTTTTGCTCAGCTTGAAACACTTCCACTGCTAAAGAAAGAGCTATGACTGGATCCCACATCCTCCTGCACCTTCTCAGTCAATGACCTTCCAAGGTAGAGTGGTGGGAAGTCTGTCCCAGTAGCAGTCTGGCCTCCTCACACAAAGGTTAGGCAACAGAACATAACAGCACTCAACAGAGGTGTAGACCAAGGGCTGCTTTCTACCCCCATTGTTTTAATTAGATGGATGAAGTATATTAGCATTTGTTGACTTAGGTGAACAAAAAGCCCTTCAGAGCAGATTTCAAAGAGAAAGGGAAAGGACCCAACTTTTTTAAGGGGTTGCTGGACTCCTATGCACTATAGCTTGCTGAATCCCTGCCTGTGGTTTGGGGTTTCATCCCACAAGATGCTAATGCAAATGTACTTGTACTAATGCAAATGACCTTACAATAAAAACAAAACATACATGTTTGCCCTTGCAAGGCATTTCATATGTGGAATTTCTTGCTCATCTGCCTTGTTGCCATTGCTTGTGCACACAGCAAGCTCAAAATACCAGTTCCTTTACTCCAAGAAGCAATGAGCACCAGAAATATTTTTGGTTATTTTACTGTTTTATTCCCCATTAGATAAATAGCCTGAAATCTTGCAAAGAAGAAAAATCAGAACTAGCAAATGCAGATCAGTTTTATCTCCATCTTTTGGAAGTTCCTAGGTAAGGAAAAATTTTCTTGTCTTCAACCCATGAATGTGGTTCTTACACAATTTGTTCATAAGAATTAAGGCCTCTGTACTAGAGGGATGTTCCTGGTATTCAGTCTTTAGGATAAATCATCAGACTTATTTGTAGACCTGCTTTGAGAATCTCTTCCTTCCCAAAGGCCAACGAGGCTTCCAGACACCTCTGGCAAACTGGAGTTAAACTAAACCTATGAGAAAAGCTGCAGACTGAATCCTGCCACCAGGCTGCTGATTCACTCCACCACTGCTTTAGAGATTTCAGTTTGCCAAAGAGAACCCACCAACCCATGAGTGAATCACAGCAGAGCCTGTGCTTTCACCACCTCCTTCCTCTTGCCAAGTCAAATGAGACACACACAGAGAAATCTTTATGCTGTTCATAAAACCATGATGATATGTTGTAATTCATGGCAATAGCCCTCCATAATTCTGCTCAGTTGCCATGCCACAACCAGAGATATTTTTTGGAAAATGTTGGGATGAAAGTGCAGCTTTTCACTTTCTTAAAATTATAGCTAGCTTTAAAAATGCTTTATAAAATATTTTCATGGCTCTTCAACATTTATCCATGGTAAGGCATAAATATCACCAAAGGACATCACTGCAAAAACATTTCTAATTTCTGTTTGGGCAGCTAAAACAAAAATCCTGGCTACTGCTACCCAAGAACTGTAAAAAAAATTATGGCCTCATTATGCAAAGAAGTCACTGCCAGATGTCAGTGTAACATTACATTTCTGAAAGAGAAGATGACAATTGTTTTTAGGACATCTTTGGAAATTTGTAAGTGTTTGATATATTTATAGTCCTGTGCTCATGACAGAGCATTGAAGAGAATATAACAGTGCCAGTACTGTGCCTTGCCTAAAATGGGTGTTTGTCCTTCTGAATGCCAGTCAATTAATCAGGCCTGTGGGTTTTGTTTAAGTGCTGTTTGTTGGAGTTTGTTTTTTCACTGATGTCTTTTAGCTACCAGTTGCGGATTGAATGTATGCTGATTTGTGAGGAAACAAAAATTCTGCTGGAGAGTCTGTGGCCAAAAGCACAAGCTATGAGGACAGCCTGTGAAAGTAAGTTCCTGCCCAGGGTCAGTCACAGGAAGCCTCTCTTCTACTTGAATAACATCGACGGCAGCATATGTCATAATTTAATCAAAACTACCTTTTTAATTGCTGAATGTGTATTGAACATCAAAATGATTCTACAGATTCCTGCTTCCAGAATTTAATCTGCAGAACTGCAATTTGTGCTGTCCTGCTCTAAAGTGGAGCTTCCACTGACATAAAAACCACCAACCTCCCGCTTATCAGTGGTTCTGCAGAGAAGGAGGAAATTCCCTTTATGTCAGTGCCAGATTCTGTTTGAACATGGGTTACATTTTGCATGCAGTGGAATTTTTTTGTCCACAGCAATTAATCAGTTCCAATTTTAATTCTAGTGCACAAGGGCTGCAGTCCAGCTTAGCTCTGTGGTGGAGCAGGGCACAGTGACATAACAATCTGCTTTGGCTTCCAAAATGGATGTCCCAGGTGATGATCACCAGTGTTTCAGGAACCCATTCCAGACAAAATTATCCTTGGTTTCAGTTTCAAGTTGGCTCTTTCTTGAAGTTGCTCTTGGATCCTAGTTTCAGTTCAATAGTTTTATAGAGCCTTTGACCTCCTGTTGAACAGTTAAACTGCAAATCTTTTGTTTATGTTTTCTCATAACACTTGGCTGTACCTGGCTGTCTGATGTCAGTACTTTTGCTACTCTTCAATGTGCTGCCATCAACGGCTCTTTGCTGTCCCACCCTGTCATGCCCACCCCTCCTCCTCCATTTCCGTTTCAGTCCTGCCAACAACTTCATTGTTACCCCAGATTCTCCTGCTGA